GATTAATGGAGATCTAGAATTAGACTAAGTGAGATCAGTTGGAGAAAATTTTTTACCATTTGGACTACTCCTCCTGTGAAATAAGAGAGAACGCTTGGGATCGTCTTAACAAGCACAGTCAGCAGAGACTGAGCTACTAAATAAATCTTGAGGACACACAACGCTGAAACGAAACTATTTACAAAGGAAAAAAGAGCAAGCATCATTGAAACTTTCACCCTCAAATTAAACTTCCAAATATTTTTTCCTAGAAATGCTGTCTTATTAAGCAAACATCAGCCTTAGAAACAGCATATAAACCTGTAGCAGAAACGTTAAGACACGGCTTGAACCAGTGATTGAGCACCTGGTGGGAAGGCAGGGCCAAACCAGGGCAGCTCGGGTACATGCAAAATACCTGAGTGACTTCCCAGACCTCATTTAAGGGCTGGCAGTGGAGGCAAGGATGTCTTGGTGGATATCCCTGCCCACCTGAGACCTTCCAAGGGAAAGCACATTTTATCTTTTGTTTCTGCATCTATAACTGCTGCATTTGAGCATATCCTCACTTGCTGTAGCCTAGGACTAGTGATAGCTACCCTGCTATCACTACTGTACTTTCCATTGCATTAGAGTGTTGCAAAACCATACCTTTATTTTGGCTTTCTGCTGTGCCTCTGAGGCCGCTTTTTTCAAGCTTTCAATTTCTTTTTGCAGTTGTTCATTCTCTTGCTGAAGCTTTAACCTTTGCTCACCAATGGAGCTGCTCTTTTCTCTTTCTGAATCCAGAATGCTTTGCAAGTTACAGATATTCTTCTGGTAATTAGATTTCTCTTCCTCAAAGCTGAAAGAGACTCTTCTTTAAAGTCACGAATTAAGTCAATTTTACATTTTCCTTCTGTCACTTCACTGAAGCTGTGATGGTTTGGAGACAGGGGAGACTATATCTGTGCACAGCAACAAAATCTTAATAGATCAGTTAGTCTAGTAAGATATTGCCTTGTGATTGCTTCCTTTAGTGGCAATAGAGGCCAACTTAAAACAGAAAAACAAGTTTTTCATATGTATTGTATATATATTGCATATACAGTTATATATATGTATATACATATGAATATGTATATATAATTATTCATATGTATTCATATGTTGTATTTCAGGTATGGAACTCATTGCCACACTATGCTGTAGAGGAGAAGATTTTACTGAGACTCAAGTAATCCATGTAACAGTAAGAGCAATAATTAAAAAAAAAACAAACATCCAGATGTGGCATTGTGTGTTTTTAAGCAGTGCAAACATGCCAATGATGCATCGCTGCCAGCTTGCTCTAGCATTCAGTTTTTCTATAGGTTACTTTTTGGACAGTACTGGAGAAGATATATACGTAGGTTACTCTGAAAGTAATGCCTCCCATTTATTTCCATGGATACTACAACAGATACAAAGACAACAATAATACTGATAGTGTTCTGTAGCTAAGAATATGCTCTATTTTCAGCATAGGCACCACCCTTAGCTGTGCATTCCTGCCAGCTACGAACAAGAGCCTGCATGCCACGCCAACACAAGTCTGTACCTGTGGAGGTGACCCACTGTTGCTAGTGCTGTTGCTGAGATGCACCACCCACTGCCTCACTGTGCTCACACCCGCTGTTTGGGCTCCATAAATGTTCAGCAAGTGTTAATGAATGTCAGTGGGAGCTATTTTTTCCACATGGAGGAATTCGGTGACCCACTTTTGCTTCGTCAGATGCCATGTTGTCAGACCATACTGCCCTTCTGCCACCATCTACAGCACGGCAACAACAGGAATGTTTCCACCAGTATTTTCTTACTATCTCTACTGCCATACCACCACCAGACACCTCTGCCATCCTGGGTCAACATAGTGAAACGTGGCATGACTTTTGGAGCAGCCCTCATATATTTGGGACAGATCTTTGGTGTGACTCAAGACACACACACGTTCCCCTGCTCTTTCTGGAAGTTTGTAGGATTATGCACAAGTCAGTGAAGTATTTTATCAAGTCTAGGGAATTCATGAAAGCAACCCAACACTCTATCCATCTCAGGAAAATAGCACTGTGAAAGAGCAGCTTTTCATTTTAATAACAATTGCAGATTCCTAAATGATTGTTCTGTACAATAGATAGGGTTTACAAACTGAATACATAAATGGCATAAGCGCCTAAAGAAAAAACAAACAAACAAACAAAAACCCTACGCTTTTCATTCTGAGAATAACCTGATCTAAAGATGTGCATCACGTTGCACATTTTACCATTATACTACTGAAACTGCAATAGCATCTGTTACCTCTGAACACAGACCTGAAATACAGTATGCTATGTAACGTGGACTAATATGTGTATACTAGGAGATACCACACTGTAGATGACTTTACAGAGTAATAATTTCTGCATGAGTATTTCAGGCAGAAATAGCCTTTCCTAGAAACAGTATTTAGACATATGTCAAGGTTTCAAACAGTGCAAATTATAAAAACAATGAAAATTTGAGTAACTGCTTGCAGTTCTCATTCTGTAAAGGAAACCTTTCTTTCTGTGGTCTGCTGCCCCCCTTTACTTCTATAGTGAGTTATAGTGCACTACTTACTTCATTTCCAACAGTTTCAGTTTATGTTGTGTTGTCTGCAGACTCAGCTGAAGGTCACATTTGGCAGTCTCTGCAAGTAGGTATTTCTGATGCAGTTGCTCTAGTTTTCTGTTGTCAGATTCATGTCCTCCGTATTCTCTACAAATCTGAAGAATACAATTTCATGCCAGATCATCTTTACCTTTCACTGGTTACTGACACAGTGACACAATAGTAATGATTAAAGAGGCTACTCCTCACTGTGCCCAAGTTCCAGGGATTTAAAACAAAACTGACTATAACTGAATTTGGGTGCTGCTTCTAAACAGGTATTCCAAGATCTTGCATTCATTTAGTTTTCAGCATGCTGTGCTTAACTTTGATTTGGAACATGCACCAGTGTGCTTTTAGGTCGTGTCCAACATCTCCTTTTACTTTTTACGCTTCCTAAAGAATGCTCTTTTTCAGTTTAGTATTAAAACTTAAAGTACTGACATGCACATTAAATGTTCTGAAAATCAACTCAACAAATAAGGAAATTAAAGATCATAGGATAATCCTTCATTCTAGTGTTAGGGAAAAACATGGGAAGTGAGAATAAAATAAGATGAAGACTTTTTCATACTGAGGGTATATCTTAAACACGATGTAAAGAGCACACATTGCCTTACCTTTTCAAGCTCTTCTTCCACTGATCGCTTTTCTCTAATGGCTCGCTCTATTTGACCCTGCTTTTCACCGCATTCCTATTTCAAAAAGTCATTCAAACAAACCTCTCATTCATATTTCATATATATAAACAACTCACGATAAAAGTTCCACACACTGTTACCATCTACTTTCAATGC